TCAATATTTGTACATTCACTTCACATTGCTTCCAATATATGGATTAAAGCGTAGCATATTAAATGTCCGTCGCCTAGCAACGATAGTAAAAACTTAACAATACAGGTTGTGATTCAGAACAAATGCGTTTGTTGGCAATCATGAGTATATCGTGTAAAATGTTTGAACTGCTATTTCCTCCATGAAAAGTGGATTACAAGATAGTGTGTGGTGTGTGGTATGTGGTGTTTTGTGAGGAGAACAACATTTGCTTTGTGCCAGGTAAAAGAGTCCCAACTAGGTACCCGATCTGTTTAGTCACTGAAGGATTCGTGTTGGGTAAATTTTTGTTTGCGATGTCCTAAATTTTGAGTTCATTGACTGTTGAATTTCCTGGTAGACCCAATGATAGGTGGACTACCTAAAGGTAAATCGTTACCAACTTAATGACGCTCTAGGAAAACGTCGCGAGCCTCCAAAAATCATCAGTTATTTTATGACTAACACATTAAAGGTCGTTTATAATCATTAAATTTGTACTGCGTAGATGTTCACGGGCACATTTGTGAATAATATAAAAACAAATAGCAGATATTTATGAATAATTCAAATACGAGATGTTATCGGTTAAGCCTACTTTATATTATTTATGTATTATAATAAAAATGTTTCTTGTTCTCTGACTTTATATAAACGTGTGAAATGAGTTAACAATTTCTGTAAGTAGCTCAATATATAGGTACGTGCAAATTTAAATTTTCCACATTTTATTAGTACAATTTCGAACGGTGTCGCGAAATAGTGTTAGCTACCTTTTATTTAAAACAAGTGCCCCACAAATCACAATAAATAAAAATACATTAAGTAAATAATTCACAAACGTTAGAGGACAGAGCCTTGACAACGGTAAAGAGGAAACTGCTTTTAGTCTGTTATATAAACAAGTCCATCATTTTAAATACAAAGTGCTCTTAATTACGATGTCAGAGGGTGGGGCAATTACTTTCATTCATCTCTTACAGTGTACGTGCTCATTATGTACTCAGTTGTCATTTGTTTACAATTCTTGTCGATTGCGTCGCGTGTCATTTTACTGACGTCGCATGTCCTAGAGGGGTATCTACCTAACATAAATACCTACTCGTACCTATGCAGTGAGCTCTTGCGCACTCGGACGTGATCAACGCTCAATTCACATTGTCAACTTAAGCATGGCACATTCCTTTTTCAAAACAATGACAATATGATGATCGTACGTTTTCATAAATGCTGAATTGCAAGTATTAAAATATTTTACTCTAGATATTTTCTCACGCTTTTTGTGGCAAGTTTAATTGTTTTTTGGAACTTAAGAATACTAAACACAAACTATTAGCCATCATAAAATTTTTCATTCTGTATTTCCAAAAAGTATGATCCATCTAGTGGGAGGTCCGTCTGTGTTACCTTCCTACCAAAATACAGCACAGGTGTAGTTCAAAAAGATGGCGTCTCGCCTTACTAGCGTGGCATAAGACCGATGACTCATCCTGCTTACTATGCAGCGAAAGTACGGTGTGTCCTTTTAAAAATATATTTTTTCTATCGGTACCTTAACGGTCCGTACCCCATTGTAGTCTATTGTGTGCAGTGGTTATTATTTTAAAGCATTATTATTGAAGGTGGGAAGTGAATTGTTACGTTGGTACATTTTTTGTAACCAACTGTCATTTTTGAATAGATTCATTGAGTCAATACTGGCGCCATAGATACACTTGATTCCTAAATGTTAGCTTTGATAACAATCGTTTTGCAATCAGGAATTGTCTGTCTTTTCCCGATATAGTTGTATTTATTAATAGATGAGACGAATCTTTTAGAATGTCTGATGTTTACGTATTAATATATGGATTACTAACATAGGTATTGGATAATTGCCATTAGCTATCTCACTTTTATTTTTAAATATCCTATGACGTAAAGTCATAGGGACACACGTAATAGCTATAGAAGAAAAGTAGTAAGTAGCACATTGGTAGGTAATTATAAACACATAATTGCGATTGATGTATCGAAGCACTGTTAACGGTAGGATTAATTCACAAAGGACGTTAAAATAATTGGACAGATCACAAAATACAGTCAAGTGTGTTGCACACATTTTTTTAATATACCATACATTGAGTTGTGAGCTCTGTACATGTTAACGGATGCAATATCGCTGTATCAATACTGGTTTTCACGAGACTAGTGAATAAAATACGTTATTCTTTTTGAACGACTGCTATAGCCGTAGCCGCCATATGTGCACATATATAGGTAGGTAAATATTACGTGACTCATCGATTTGTCGCTCGTCAAAGGAAAAAGTAAATTTTAATATTTGTACTGTACGGAAATGAAAACCCTATCGCTCTAAACTTTTTACCCCACGTTTTATTTGCAAACCTGTGTTTTTATTTTTGACGGTGGTATTTTGGTTTGTTTATCTATGATATATATATGTACATAATTCTACGTAGGTATAAGTAGACTGGTATTAAGCTAGTTGCATGTAATTTTAAGCACCATAAACAGTTAGAGTGGTTCCCCACTACGTCCGATCCGAAACAGTGAAAATACGAATTTAGAAAACTATAACCGATTTCAGTAATTACTTAGACACATGGTGCTAACTGTCATACAAGTATACGACCGGCTACTTTGACTAGTCGTATCTTTTAGAAACTCGTCAATAGAGATTTATTGAAGACGGGGGAGAAATCAGATGACGGAAATCGGGTCTATTGCGTAAACTACTTATGTACAAATAGTTCTACGACTACGCCGGACCGTATTTTCACGAAAACGGATCGGATTCGGGTCGGATGTAGTGCGAAACCGCTCTAAGGGTTTACAGGGTGTTTGCCATCAGTTCATGAGACGTGCAGCGACATACGAGTACAATGTTGTCTAGGCGCTAAGTAGGAACACCCTTAACACGACACGTATCTCTGCTACTCAAATTTAACTTAACACGATGAAATCAATTTCAGATTTATGTATAACTAGCTTCTGCCCGCGACTTCGTACGCGTAATTCCATTTTTTCCCGTCCCCGTTCGTGATTTTCGGTAAAAAGTAAAAAAAAAAATTTGGTTAAAAAGTATCCTATGTCGGTCTCCTGGCTCTAAGCTACCTCCCTACCAATTTTCAGCCAAACCTATTCTGCCGTTCTTGAGTTATAAATGGTGTAAATAACACTACTTTCTTTTATATAGAGGTATATAGATAGAAACTGTGTTTTCTTTCAAGAAATTTCTTTAGTGCTCTTTCCGTAAAAGTTATCTGAGGTGCATTCAAATGATACTGGCACAAGAATTGGTATCCTTTTGGAGCATCTAATTTTTGACTGTGTTATATACTGATTGAACTTATGATGCCGTGCACGAGTAGTCACATAGTCTACAACATCAGTGAGAGAGTTATTACTACGAAAATACTTAGTTAAGCGAATTACTTAAAAATCATTAAAAAGATAGGTACCTTCAATTTAATTAATAACACAGGTAAAAATCATTGAGCATTCGCGAATCCAATTATTATTCTAGTATTAAATGCATTAGACTCATCTCCCTCCACTTGGCCATGCTAGTCGGGTGTAAATAACTTATGCTAATACTATGCCAATATAATCTGCAAGTAAATGAAGTTTGTATAAGAGAACTCGACGTTTTCCTTCACTATGAGGACCGAGGGCGTCAATAATCGGCGTTCAAAGATAAGTTAATCACTAACATTTTAATATAATTATATTGTTAATATTTTGGGGCTTAAACCGGTGCTGAGTCGCATGAATTCTAATATTATTTGTTCCAGTTTATCAGTATTGTCTCGTATACAAATCTTGTTCGAAGACCAAGTATTCACATGTTATGACGTTTTCAATACAGAGGGATAATCCATTACACACACATATAGGGAGATTAATTTTAGAAAGCCCTGACACAGGATTTAGAATCTAACACTGGTTTAGTAAAGCATTACAGGCACTATGGTTTTACCATCAGCTTAAAGCTAACAGGTATTAACTTCGACTAATGGATGTTATATTCGGTACTTTTCAATAACCATTGTTACACGAATATAGCTAGTTTAATAGTATCTTTGTGTGAATAGAAAAAATGTATTACGAACTTTAATCTTAGTAGAAATATAAACCATTTTTAACCGACTTCCCAAAAAGGAGGAGGTTATCTATTCGATTATATGTTACTACGATTACTCCGGCGTTTTTAGACGGATTTTGATGATTATTTTTATGTTGGTAAGGTCATACTCTCTTCTCTTTTCACCTATCAATGGGTGGGTAACCTATAAGTACGTATGACTAATAATAATTATTTTTTGCTTTTTACTTTTGACCTTTTACTTGATTTTAGGTTTTGGTTTTCGAAGTTGGTTTCTTTTAAACGCAGTTTTTGTTTTTATTTAATTTATGTTTATCATTCAGAGAAGTACCTATTGCTTTGTGATCATTGTATGGTTGCATTTGACGTCTCGCAGATGGCATGTAGAGTTGATTGCGATATGCAACCCTTTGAAGTTGAGTGGAACTAGGGGGATCCGACGACGTCGACAACTGTTTTTATAACCCCTCTCCATTAACAAACTCCTTTGTTACGTGCGCCTAAAGGACTTAATAGTGCGGTTACTTTGAGTTTCAAGTGTATGTTTTGTACTCGTACTTACGACTCAATCCTAACTGGGAGGACTTCCTTTTGTTAATGACGATACAAGTGTTTATTGTAACAAAATAAGTCCTAGCTAGCCAGCTAATTTGATTTGAGAGGACATAAAGTAAATATACGGTTTAGGAATAAATTTATTGAAATTCATAACATAAATAGTGAAATGTTGGTGTAACATTGTGCAGTGGCATTAAGTGCCCTGATGTACCAACACCTTCTAGGATCAAAAGGCGTGATGTTATGTTATGTTCATTGGAATATATTTTCTAACATGTTCCATTCGTTGTCTGCAGATCAAACATGTCTAGATTAGCATGCCTCCTGGCGGTGGCTGGAGCCGCGTCTGCGCAGCTGACACTAGATGGCATCAGATGCGGGCAACTAGTCTGCCAGCTCGAAGAGTACTGCTCCCCGGACACCAACCGGTGCGCCCCCTGCAGTGTAGCCTGCAACAAGACGAGCCACAACTACGATGCCGGCCTCTGCATCAAAGAGTGCCAAGGTAAGCCGATTATGAAGATTACAACTAAATGAGTATGAGCCTTATGTGCAGTATCACATCCGATTATCAGAATAATAGAAATCCAGTTAAAAACCCATACTATTTTTTCTGAGTATATTTTTATGGCAGTTTAAAATTTAATTTCAAATGTTATATCCAACCTATACGTGAATATAGAGGTACAATTTTAACGTGGACACGTAAGATAATTTCTTTGACCGCGTTGATCTCTGTGACATATGAACAGTACATGTTACAGTACAGACGAGATTGCCGACTGTACACATTATAGAGTAGTAATCCGAGTGTGCCACCGAAATAACAAAATATTACGTATAACATCGCCGCCGGCAAACACGCGTGTTATCTACTCCACGGTAAACATTCCAAGATGTACAACAGCCGTTTTTCCATCAGATGGAAATCCTTGGAGCCATTAAGATGACTAATATAAAAAGAAATAATAGAACCTCTAGCAGTGAGCAATCGATTATTCACTCAGTTGTCTTAGTTATAAAGGCTGTTATCATTAAACAATAAACTTTACAACCAGTTTCGTGACCGCAAACCGCCTACGATTGTAGCTGTCTCTCTTTACTCGTGATTTGTCTCGCTTACACTTGAGTGAAGAATGTGTAGGTTTCAGGTCAAGCATCTCTTATGAGAGTGGTTTCACATTTATACATTTAACAACACGGTAATGGTGCAGATGTCGAATACAATTACATATGTGCTGTGCAGTGCCAGGATGCTGCATGATATACGTCGAGAGTAGTCTTCATTCTTGACATAGTGACACATTATAATCTGTTTTCAGTAGTATCACACTACATGGAGCCTGATAATGAATTCGTCATGAAATGACAGTCTCTCCGTAAATATTGTGTTTGAAATTACATATTTAGAGATTGAGTTGTTCTTTTCATTAAGTTGGTACTTTTGCTCATTAGCAATGTAAATGACGTGGTTATGAAAATGAGATTGTAATGTCGGTACAGGTTAAAACGACTATACCTATACCTGCATAGGTATGGTGGCAGCACTAGTCTCGCGTGTTGCGCATTTTCTTAGCGCATCACTGCTCCGGCCATGTGAATAAAGTAGTCATAATAAGTTAACGTACGACTTTGCGATTTGACTTCACATGGAAATTAGGTCATCTTTTCACTAAGTACGCGCAAGGAATTGTAGGTATGAATCATTCCCTAGATCGAAAAATTTTAAACATGTTTTAAATTGCAGTTACGGTGATAAAAAATATCTCATACAACTAATATTCGAATTTCAACTACTTGGCAAAGTAATAACTACATTCTTTTTACTATTAATCAAATACATTTATTTATCTTAATAATTAATTAACTAACTTCGATTCTTAGCTTACATTTATTTCATTGTAGTAAATAAATATTCGTATTTGATTCGAGTCCGTGATCAACAGGTACAGTATAATTATTCTTAGTAAAATATTGCAATAGGAATCTAGACTAACTACCAATTAATGAAATGAACGCTAGCATTCATTATTTATTCATTTTTAAAGAGTGAATTCAATTACGAATGATTTTATTAATTAAGTTCTGCAATCCTGAGTGGATATTAAATAGACATTAGTCTGTTATATATACCATAAATATCTGTTATGTATGTATATATACATTAATGTTTGTTATATATGTTATATATTTGTAAATGCACTTTACATTTTGTAAACGCGAACACTATTATTTATTAGCTTTTAATGAAATAAGTACTAATTTACTAGGTACTCAGTGCTTTCAAAGCAGACTAGAATAATACGATTGAACAAGTACAGCACCAATTTTCCCCGTAAACTCTATTTAAGCCTCTTATTTACTTAGTTGTTGCTTTCACGCACGTTACACGGCATTAATAATACGTACTGGTACATTAGTTCAGTCCATACTACAGAACCTGGAAATCGTATTAAACTATGCCGGCTTGCTTGCTGTACATTTTGGGGCACTTAGTTTGTATACCTTGTTTTGAAATTAGAAACTCCCGTTGTGTATTCTGCTAGTGATTTTGTGTGAGAGAAAATAAGTTGTAGCATGTCAATAGTTGAACAATTACTTATTAAATACTGAATGGTTACAATGTCAAGTTAAAAAGAATTCAATGCATTCAGTAAAGCTATGTAATATCAAAAAGTACTTTAACAAGTTGTATCACTAGACGCAACTGGCGGACGCTTCTCGCTTCGCTTATATCATCTGTACAATTTAAAAGTATCAGGTGCACGCCAGTACCAAGTTATCCGAACCTCGGCGAGCGGATCGTTATTTTCCGCACATCACGACTCATAACGACCTGAATAGAATGCAGTTGGAGGATCATTGGTAAGGGGTGTAACAATACCCATAAAAGTCATGCTCCGTTGATTCTGACAGGTACGGCCCGCACACACGCGCACGGCAGCCAGTGTGTGTGTGCACAGTTCGCCTGTGTGTGCACGATACAGGTGGCTCCTTGTTTATAAATGGTACAAGTGTAATCTGTTTGTCGCATATGTAGCGATGCAATTAAATGCGAGTTTCATTGAGTTCGTCACTAAACAATTTGAGGTACGCTACAACTTTGTGACGACCAAAACACCACCCGGCTACGCTCTTTTAGTTTATCATAGGAGTTGGGTGTTGCTCATATTCCTATCCTTAAATTAATACAGTTTCAAATATTTCGTTTGACGACATATTTCTGTAATATTCGGTTCAGACTACAGAGTTTACCTTTGTTTTCATTCGTAGTCAGAACTCGAAGTTCCGAAACAATGTATACGCTAAGCGTTTAATAGTTGATAGTTTTGTGAACTGCGTTGTTGGAGTGTATGTGCACGGCGATGTGTGTGTGTGTGTGTGGCCCGGGCAAGCACCTGTCGGCGCAGATCGACCTGCTAATTGTTTGCTCGAGACATTTTTTCCCGACCTCGCCTGTGTCAACATAATACTTGCTCCTAATTTTTTCTTATCTCGTAGCAAAGAAACTGTACCGTATCGTAAGTGGCTTTCTATATTGTGAAACCATTCAGAGTTTTACGAGATGTTTCTCTGAGAACAAAAGTAATTTCTTTTGACACGTATTACGTTGATGAAACCTCATTAAAACCAGTCTAGGCTGGAACATCGCTTCGGCAACGGTCTTTGTTTAACAGGCTTTTATTGGGTCAGAAATGCTCCTTTGGCACAGAACATCAGAGGGAATGCCTGGAAATGGGCAGTCATGTAATGTTATACTGTTCAAAGGGTTCTTGTACTGGAAACAAGTCACTTTAGATGCACTAAAAGGGATTCTAGAGCGTTCCGGCAAAGAGCAGAGACTTTGTGCAAGTTGTGGTCGGAATCAGATCAACTATGGCAAATATCTTGTGTGTAGCAGCGTAGTGTAGGCTTGGTTCTGCGGTTGGCTAGAGTTTACTTGGGGATTTTTAGTATAAGAGTCAGTGGCTATCTAACTGTGCAACATTAGTCACAAGAAACTTCAGCGAGCCATATCTCATGCACATAAATAAAAAACCGTGAACCAATTATTATCGATTTTTTTAAGTATTGCATAAACGGAATGAACTCATTCATGAACGTTATCAAGGAAATATTCTGGATTACACCTATATTTAACATTTCTCAAGAAGTGTCCACAAGTACTAAGGGATAATGTATGACAATTTTGATGATGCGTTACAGACGGATGGACAGGCTGGCAAGATATATAATTATAAGCATGTTAGTCGCAAAAAGTGTTCTAAAAAATACCACACAATAACCGTTGATGACTAAAAATTAATGCTCATATATTTTAAAACAATAAAGAATTTTGTACAGCGTCATTCCGCACCTCTATCGCATTAGTGTTTGAGCCAATATTTTTTGTAATTGCGTTTCTGTTACATGATTGAGTATGTGAGTGTCTTATGTAATATCGTATTGTTATTTTTTGTTACTTTGCCAGTATGGATGTCTATTTTTTGTAGTTAGCCGTTTGCGGATTCGCTCACGTAGATTTTGAAAGATTTGCTCAAATTAATACCGATCTTTTAGTCGGGAATAATTGTAGAAAACTCAGCCAATTTACAAAAACCTGCATGATCAGTCCAATACCGTCCAGTGCTGAGTCATACACCACATACATAATTATTAGGGGTTTGCTATAGGAATCTCCATGGTTAGCAAGCGAGTTAGAGATAATAGTTTCAAAGGTTCAAGTTTATGAGAATGTCTCTATTACATGTTCGGTCGTTTAGTCAGCTCTAACACCTGCGGGAAGTCTACAGCTAGTGAAAAATATATTTTACTTCACACATAGGTATAGATGTTTTTAAATCCTTTATTTATTAACTTGTTTCTTTATTTACAGGATATCTCCTCGACCTGAGGTACATGCGAAGGTCGGAGGAAACACATCCTCCCGGGGATCTGAGCGGTAAATATCCTATTTTATATTTTTCTACATATACTTAGAAAACTAAGGTGAAATATTTTTGTACTTACTTTGTTTGTGTGTATGCTCTTGCGACAGTTTTGTGGTTATTATGGTAAATGTATTTAATAGTATTTTGAATGATGTTGACTTTAAAAAAAGAAAGTAACGACAAGACGAATAATTTTATTTGTGATATAGAATGATAGCCATTGATTTTGTAGTCTGTTTATTGCGTCAAGACTGTAATAGCACCTTCATCGTGTTGCATCAGTTGTTTAAGTATATTGATGCATTTACTATGGAATAATAAGTCGGCAGGCAGAGACTATGGAGACATGGTAGGTATGGTATGGTAGGGAGACAGGCGTGAAGTTATATATATAGGTATGGAATAAGTTAGTCTATTGTAAGTGTCCCAAATTAATTTAATTTATTAATTTATATGCATACAAACAGCACAGGGGATAACACGTTTTTAAAATCACGTAGGTAGGTACATAGGTGCTACTTATTCCTGTTAGAATATCTTTCTTTAGACTTAAGACAGGAAAAGTAATAAAGACACTATACACAATGTGTAATAAAATAAGATAATTAACAATAAGAAACAAGAAACTTTTATATTATCATTATCAACAACCTATAAATGCCCACTGCTGAGCAAAGCCTCTTCATACACGGAGAAGGTTTGAGCAATAATCACCACGTTTGCTTAGTGCGGGTTGGCGATTACAAACTTATAATTAGAAATTTTAAGCCCAGGTTTCCCCACGATAATTTCCTTCACCGTTTGTCAGTGGTGTCTAAATAATCTTAAAGAGAACATATATATAACTCGGAAAAAGTCACATTGGTACTTGCCGTTGGTAAGTTTCGATCTCGCACCCTCATGCACGAGAAGCGGGTATTTTAACTCGTCGAGTACCGGTTTTATAGACACAATTAAAGAACAATAGGTCGCGGTCACCGGTGACCGCTTGGTGTTTGACAGTTTAAGCCACCGCGCCATCACGACATTCAGAAACAAGAAACTTAAACCGTAATAAAATAATAACAATTTTATAAATAAATAGACAATATTACGTGAATGAACGAAGTTTAAAGTGTGAAGCAAGGTCCTAAACGTCTGTTTGCTAGCGTTAATGAGTTCAACACTACTTAATGACTAAAAGATTACCTTAATTGTTTAGCTTGTTATTTGTACCTACGTTATCACGATTAGTAAGTAAACTTCAAAACACAAACACATATATATTAGGTATGTTGGTGTGATATTAAAATTATATTATATAATCTTTATTTGACGACGGATGACATAATAGACACGTTTATAAAAAAGAAACTACATTTGAAACAAACATTGATTAAGTTATTTTTTCTTCATCATGTACCTAATTTAATATTCTCCCGAGAATATGAAATGTAGGGCCAGTAAAAATATCATAGTCTCGGTAACAATCAAATAAGTAATGATATTTTGTCTCAGTGATATTAAAAATAAACGTTTTTATCTCAGAACATCGAAACTTTATATTTCTTTTAAAAAAGATATAAATTGGTTTCTGAGTTTTATATGAGAATGTCCTTTGGCTGTCCAATTGAGCGCTTCGTCGGGTTAATATTGAATAAGCCGAGACTTTGTTGAGCTCCAACAAATCCGCTATATAAATAGTAGTAAAAACAATTTTACTATTAGATATACCGTTGTCTAGTGTTGTGAATCTGTTATTATAAGTTTATGCAAGTTTGCAGATTGCACAGCGAATATCCAAGTTTTAGACTTTAATTGGACGGGAGACATGTTTACTGCGAATGTTGAATAAACTTACGATCTCGCTTCACTTCAACTTTTCTACGAGTGTTATTGATTCTTTGATTCGATATTTCTTAATGTGCATGTCTGCACTGCCTTGAGAAGTTAACAATAGCTGTGCTCAGACTATCGCTTCCAGTTTAATAAAACTTTGTAAAAATCCAGCTTAGTTAGTTGTTTTGGATTTGACTAACTATATTACAGTTTGTTTACAAAGAGTCTGTATTTAATTTGAAGAAATATAAAATAAATGTAATATTTCAGTAACTGATTGCTTGCCTGTTGCGAATCTCACAAACTTATTCCGATATGATTGCCACTGCGAACAAAACTAATCCTGCCTTATTTAGAACTGTGGCTAAAGCCTTGCGCTACATATTACATCGAGTGAGGTCGATGTAAGTTACATAGAGCAGTAAATACTATTTACTACAGCCGGACTCTCACATGTATTACTAAATACAGCTGGATACTGAAGTTGTAAACTTTTCCAATGAATTATATGTTCAGTCCAGGCAGCCATCTAATGCCTGGACCAACTAGCAGCGTTCCTAAGTCCCCTTAGTGTCCTCTACGTACCTTAATAATTCTTCATTGACAATGTTAAGTGTAGTTACTACAAGTTCAGTTTTGCGGGCATACAAACGCCATTTTGTATCTTAAAATGTTTAAAGACCAAAATAAAAATGCTTCCACATTTCTATCAGCGAAGAAAAGTCTTCGATTAGAGACAGAATCGTTACTGGCAAATCTCTTTACACGTAATATTTACCAAGTAGTGAAAGCACTATTCGTTAGAACTTTCTCTGCAGTAACCTGTCCAGTGCTAGTGCTAATGCTAAACAGGAGTTCTTGAATACATATGATACATATTGCGAAGGTTTTTTTAAGCAAAACGCTGATGCAATTGTATTTATACTGAAAACCCAAATATTTATGATCCATTAGAATTATTTTAATATTGTAGAATATTGGTGAAAGGTGGTTGACAAAGGTTATGATTTCGAAGGTGTGCAGCGTCAAGCGCAGACTGCTCTGATCATCAGCGCCGTGGCACTCGCAATCTTGGTGCTCGTGCTCATCATCGTCTGCAGGGGCAAGTTCTCTTGGCGATACATCAAGCAGAAATTTCAGCCGGCCAAGGTAAAGACTTTTTGATACACATACTTTCACGTAGTATTCATAACCTTTTAAAAATACAGGTCTTAACTCATTTCGGTATGACTCCTTGATTTTGAAACTCCTGACATCAACTTCCAGAACCGAGTGAAGCAGTACCCAAACGACCTGACACATCACAACCCACACGCGGAGATGCCGAAACCTAAGCACGAACTCAAACTGGAGATACGGAATCCCGATCCAGCGAAACGACCGCAGCAGCCTCTGAATGTGAGAGACTTGGAAACAAGGACTTCACAGACAGAGAAGAGTCAGGGAGCGACTACACCGAAGACGATCAGTACTGCACTTAGCAACCGACATCCAGCCGAAGACACGACATTAGATTTCTCGTACGACAACATGGGGATGAATGTGACACCGCCGGAGCAACCCGCGACCAGCCACAAGTTCTGAGGAAAGGCTGTCAGCTTTGGCAGTGCCACCATCAGGTTCATACACCGCAAGCTCAGTACTGCCACGTCAGAATGATAGGCCAACAAAAGTTTCAAACTTTTAAAAGACTCTTCAGATTTAAATTAAATAAAACTACTTTTTACCGTAGGATTGTATTGAATTTATCTTGTTGTAATGCTGTCATAGTCCTTAGCACTAATTCTATTGAGCAACGTAGAGCCCTGTTTAACTTTTTATTAGATTCTTCTGCAGTATTTTTAGTAGGAAATATTTTCTACAGACGACCGTAGCGGGAATATATTGTAATATTATGGAGTATTTAATATAAGATAAAAATAAAATGCACATTTATCAACAGTAATTTCACTAAGAGTCAGATTAAATAACGTTAGAGTAAGTTTTGGTCTATTTATTCTTCGGGATGATATAGTTGGAAGACAAACCTGTTCGATGCATCGAATTTATATGAAGCATTTTTGTTAACGATTTGTAATCAAATTTTATAAATATAGGCAAGTATATTCAGCTTTGTTTACATATTTATGATATGAGGTAAGGTTTTATTACAATGTAGATTTGTTTTATACACACGTGAGGATCAATTAATTTTAAGATAACTGTAAGATGTAACACCAACCATAAAGTAGTTATGAATGATAAATCGAATATTAAAAAACGCCCTATTGGTGCAGCTAAAATCAAGGGAATGTGGGGAGATTTATATAGGTAATTTAAAACTATAAAAATAATTTAATTGCATCACAGAATAAACATTGGTATCCGTGTAACGTTACATCATTTTTAATTTACTCAGAACTAAATTGCTCATGTTAAATTCGCAAGTTTCGAAAAATAATAGGTAAAACTGGTAACACAGAAATTTAAAACAATAATTTAAAAATACAATAGTGTTTCTCTAACGCTCTTGAAAAATCACTTTCTAATGAGTAATAACGAGATTCTTTTACATCGTTCGTCTTTTATTTTTGGCAAACACACGCTGGCTACGTCTTGCTGTCACACAAAACAAACAAAGAGAATTGATAGACGTCACATGGGTACCCGTAAATTACTGTATAATTAATTAATTACGACTATAACAAACGTGTATTCTGTCGGCAATAATTTTTAAAGACGTATAATGTATATATTGTATGTATAGTATAGCGTTTGAGTATAAATGCTTGTATTAAGCCAGGATACCGCCAGACTCGATTGATGAATGTTCGCAGCAGAACACTGAGCGAACGGAAATGTCAATATAATTTTCATAGCGAATAACCGAGTTCGTTGCAAAGCAAAACATTTTGATGAGCCTATAGCCTAATTAATACTGAATGCTTTCAACAAATGAATGGATATTGGAAGGTGGCATTTACTATGAACTGTAATGTTTAATAGTGGCATTGTTATTGGGAGGTATTGTGTCTGATTCCAACATTACGTGTATATATTTATGGTTTCGCTCGGATTCATTTCATTCATTAGGTGAATTTGTAATATTATCGATTCTATTTTCTATCATATTAAACCTAATCTAAAACCATAAATAGAATGTGTGGAAACAACTATTATGCATGGTCTGGCGGCCCCCATTTACAATATTGATACGTATTATGTTGCAAGTATATAGAGGTAGTTAGTTTACCTAATGCTTATATAGTTATAGTTATGTTGTATATTTTCGAGTTCGACTCGGGTTAAATAAATGTCCAGCATGGCTGAGGTAGTTTTTTATTTATGGGTTATGTTAAATGTGTATGTTATTGACTGTTGGTGTCGGATCGCACTTGTTTAGAATGTAAACTAACTTTGTAGTAACAACGCATGTTGGTATTGTCGAGATGTTTCGTTTTATGATTGAAAGAGTAACTGAGATTGTGTAGTCATCAACAACAGCTTGGCAACTGTAAGCCGGCCTCGAGTGTACTCTCGGAACACAATGCGCTGGCTGAGCTCACAACTAACTACACTCACTTACACCAGTGTTATCCCTCCATCGTCCTTGAGTGCTCCTGAAATACCTCCAACTAAATTATCTTCAACAATATGCTGTTTGATCTGTGTATTAACACAATAATGTCTGATAACGCGTGAACATTCACAGTTAAACTCCTTCATTATTCCATTAGAATCTAGAACCTGTAATTACTCGAATCTCGATAATATAACATTGTTGTTATTGTGAAGTGTATTTATGTATTTACTGCTTTGATTGTTCGTCTTTGATGTATTTTATTAACGCATATAAGCTCACCAAAAGATACACGTATGTTTAATTGTGAAAGAGATTACGAATTTCTTATATACTTTTAGGTACTATATTATAAGCTGTAGTTCATTAATATAAGGTCACGCGCATTCTGTTAGGGTGTTGCGACTAAGCGGCAGTTAAAATATCAGGTCATGTTTAAGTTTTCGTTAAAATTTAGAAGTTAATTCAATAGCTATTTTTAAGTTTTATCCTAAAGCATTCCCTGCAGTGCCTTTCCAACATAGTTTAGCAGGCCTAATTAAGGCAGATAGATTCAAATTTTAATGTCGTAATAATCAATCATTTCTTGTAGTTCTATGAATAAGTATCCATAGGTTGTATTTAAAGTATCCTAGCAGTAAAAGTGACCCTTGTGTTAACTCGTGTATTAAGGAATGAATGGTATATAAGTGTAGAGGACAAGATAAGTACTTAACCAACTGTCCTTCAGATGAAAACTTTGGGATCGTCTCGGGTTGTCCTTTTGTGGGTGCTGTTCCAATCAATGTAAGTAGTTCAGTGTATGTTTCACAAACTCGCTAGCACGACCAACTTGTTACCAACTACAACAATAAATATTATCTGTATTTACGAATGGAGAGATGTCGCGAGTACTGTATAGGCAATGCGCATTTATTACAACAACTATAAGAAGTAAAAACGAATTACTCATTTACCAGTTAGATTTTGTCGTGTATGCAAGGGGAATGTCTCGCACGATCTTTGTATTTTCTAATAACAGTAATGTGTATTCTTGCACTGTGAGAATATTTGCGTTGCATTCCGTGTTAATCTAACTGAGTGAAGTAAACATTACTTGTGATGCGCCGCGACATACTTTGTCGTGTAATAAGATACCAACTAGAATGAACAATGACTGGAACATTTCTCATACAAGCGATTACAATGATAAATGCCATGACGATAAAAGTAAAAATGGTGTGCACTTGACGATTTCATAAACTAAACTGAATTTGGATTCTAAAGTTATATTATAAAATTAATATTACAGTCAGGAGATTTCAACTACTAATTTATGTCATAATTATTACAAGTCGATATTTCATAGATTTTAAAGATCACATAGTATTTGTATCATATATAATATTATGTATTTATCATCTATTTATAAGTTTTTGCTTCTTCTTTTCCATGAAGATATCTGGTTACTTATAGTAACTTATAAATTTAAATTACTCAAATTTCTATACTTCAGTGAAGTGTCATGGGAACTTTATTGGTTAACTTAGTCCTTTAAGGTTATGTAAGGTAGTGTTAGTCATAAGTCACTGTTTTGCACTAGTTAGGTAAGTTTTAGGTAGTGAAATAGGTAAGGTAGGTAAGATAAGCACGTAGTCACGATTTTGTATAAGTTATATTAATCCAGGAGGGGGTGGGTGACTTAATACAATTTTTTGAAGAATTTCTGACATTCATTGAATCAATTCTGACTAGAATTTATCGTAAATTGGACAGTATTATGTTTAACATCTCGAATCCACTTGAGCATATAACTTTTTTTAAATTAAATACATATCTAATTGGCGTCTGAATTACTTACTACTTATGGCGACTGACAACACACTTAGATTTTTTCGCATCTAAAACATTTGGTACATAAAGTATTCTTTATTTATTAATAAAAAATATAATCTCCTCGCTAAGGGATTCGGAATAATAACTCATTTTATTTTCTAAAGGAAGTATTTTTATTACATTTGATTTATAACGGTCATCAGTCATATTTCTATCAATTTGTCTATTCCCACAGCGTAGCTCTATCGTCTCTGTATTTATTATATCCCAGATTCCAGGTAAATAGGTTATTATTTTAGTCTTCTCTTTATCTTGCATATCGCTAATCTGTGTGTTAGAAAGAGATACAAAATGTTGGATAAAAACCTCGAAAATCAATTGTTAGACGCGTTAGTGCCCCTTCTGGAAATATTATAAGTATACTTATAGGTTAAGTTTCTTTGATACTTCACTGTAGTTGAATAAATATGGTTTTTACGAGAACAAATCGGTTGAAAATATTAATAACTCTCTTTAATTACGTTCTATAGATTAATGGGTTTTGTTAATTAGTTCACAATCTGACACAGGCAGGACCCACACATGTGTGGCCTGCTTATCCACCGTCTTCCGACATCTTAAGTTTAATCCTAAAATTTAAATGGGGTAGACGACTAATTTTTATTTTAATGCCCGCCTGATAGATTATTTAAAAACATTAGACACGTATTTTTTATTTTCTCACAGAAACGAATAGTTTCGAAGATATATTGATTTGAAATGTCGCGTGACGTCACTTCTCAGTACATTTTATACTAAGAAATGACGTTTTAGCCCCCACTCCTAAACTTTGATTCGTTTTATCTAAGTATTGTTTTATTATACAACAAAATAAAAAAATACGTGTCTAATATTTTTTCGTTACCTAACTTACGGACTAATTATATTTTTAATTTTCATACCCTGTCATCATCCCCATTATGTATATTTAAATTCATAAGAAATAAGTAGTTTCTTCTTAGGTCGTGTAATACGATTGCTTTTAAATGAAATAATAATTTCTTATAAGTACATTGTCAGTAATCTTTATAACGTACATTATCTAATTAGTAATTGATGAGTAATTTAAGGAGATTTTCTCTTGGTTCCTTTATTTGAATGATGTAATTTGTTTATGTACAGGTCAGTATTTGTTTCTCATACGTTTTTGGGACAATTGGAATATTTTTACATCAATCGAAATCATATTTAAAACATAATTGGTTTGTTATCATATTTTGACGATGTATCAGTGTCTGTCGGATACATAAAGACATTTGTAGGATTTCATTTATTTTTGCTTTAACATCTAGTAAAATAAACGAATGAAGTATGCAATATCTGAGTAGCTTAAGTTTCACTGATACATCAGTATTGGTATCATGATCATGAGCACATTTAAGGTAATATTATGTTGAAGTACATGAAGGTGATTTAGTTTTGATGAGTGCACATATATACTTGCACAGTTCGGAGCGACCCCTGTTGGGCTCCTGATCCATCGTCTTCCCACCCAGTAGTTGTGTTTAGTAAGTTTAATCATTTACGGATATTCGCTTTGCACATATTGGCAGTATGAAACAATTGTTTAAGTCTTAATTACCTTAATATCTCGTCTTCCGACCTTAGTTCTGGTGTAATTCAACCTTGGATCGCAACATAAATTGTTAGTTTAACTTATAATAAGATTTGAACAGTTATTAATTAATTAAGGTTCGTTTAATATGGCCACGAAGCCATTTTCACTGGTTCACAGTTATTTGATTTTCTGAGTTGAGGAAGAGTAGTGGATTTTTGTTTTTTGATAGCACAATATTGCACTGTTGGAGTAGACCGAATGACGGCCTCCTAATCCATCGTCTTCCCGTCTATAGTTTGTCTCATAATACCTTATACCTAAAATAAATAAGTTTGTCACTGTCATGTTTCTGTACATACTTTACTTGTGCCGTTATACGATTTAAAAGCAATCGGGTATATATTTAGTCCATGTAATAAATCAATATTTATCATAGATATGTAATTAAATTCATCAGTGATTTGATTCAAAATTGTGTATTACATATATATCGGTAGATGATGTGTCAGTAGAGCTTATAAATAGCTTGGTAGATTCTTAATAAGTAATAATTTAAATAAATAGATAATTTACGGTTAATAGTATAATTTACATTTTATCACGGGGCACAGTTTATTGATGCATTTTGTTTGAAGAGAATAGTGAAGGGACGTGGGAGTTTTGTTTAATGGTTGCACTTTTCTGCACTCCGGAGCGACCTGAATGTGGGCTCCTGATCCATCGTCTTCCCACACTGTACTCGAACAGACGTAGTATGCTAAATACGCCGCTTTTAAATTAAGGGTTTAATTTTCTATTGGATTAAGACCTAGACAGTTAAGACCACGCATTAAAATATACGCTTCTTTTAGACGATTGTTCTCGCAAATATTCATATTATCTTCTTACAAACGCTCATTATGTACTGATAATAAAAATACCGTTGCCAGAAATCTTCATGGATCTGAAGCAGCATTAATGATAACTTGAAACGTCAAAGTGGGTACTCACGAACAGCTATTATCAAAATAATAATAAGGTCAATCAAATCAACTGTTGTTTGTCTGCTATAAAACATTACGTATCGATATAAGATGTTTAATAAGTAATATCAATGACTAAAACTCATATATCAAACGACATTAAAATGTAGGACTATATTCTAGACATGTTAAGTAATTAGGTGCTTTAAAGTTATA